TACTTTATAGGAACAGAGGTGTGGTGGAATCTGTGATTTGACTTGCCAGTGTGATCTTGCAGTCTCTCACTCTCTTCTATTTTGCATGTGTTTGTAAATTTTGGACAACCAAATATTTTATTTAAAATATTAGGTTATATATATGATGGAACATTTTTATATCCTCACATGTAGGCTAATACCCAAATATATATGTTTTTCCAGCTCTAGGGTATAATTATTGAGGTACAATTAACAAATAAAAATTGTATATATTTAAGGAGTACAATATGAGGTTTTCATATATGTGTGCAATATGAAATAATTACAGCATTCAAGTTAATGCAGTCTCTTGAGTGCAACAAGAAAAGCAAAAGTACTATCTCCCCAAATCACTTGCCAGAGGTAGTTTTTGAAATAAGTTGAATTGTAGATCACGTTTTATCTTTGTGAGCTGTCCTATAAGATACTCCCACACCCAGCCTCTCTATATTCAGACAGTGTTTACTAGAATGTAGCTGGACGACCTCTACTTCAACACTTGAGTGAGGTGGCCAGGAGCAGTGGGCATGGCCCAGGAGCTACCCCTTGGCACTCCCAGGCAGAGCCCACTTCTGCAGACTGTGCTGGTTCCGAATAATGGGTTAATTTATATGCAATGTTCAGGCAAACATTGAGGCAGAGAATACCAATGCAAAGAATAGGCCCAAGTGCCAACCAAGGGGCACACCCCTTCAGTAGGCTCAGTTTCGAGATTGGAGGTGGAATTCCATAAGAATTCAGTCACTGTTTATTAACATAGCTCTGTGCAACTCTGGCATCTGCTGGCCAGAGACCCTCTGGTTTTTACGTTTACCCTCAGCAGGACAACCCAGACTGTATGGATTGTGTTTACACTGGAAAAAAAACATTGTATTCCCTACAATGCGAGAAAAGAAGTTAGAGATCTTCTCATCTGCACTCCTTCTTTATACAAATGACAGTACTGAAGCTCAAGAGGTAAACCAACTTTCCCAATCCAGCATTGCTAGTCATAAACAAATCCCCACATATTTTGATAAGAATAAAATCCATTTTATTCGCAATCTCAAATATTAGGGCTTTATTACCATGGAATGAAAACCATTTCGGTACTTCTTGATCTTGAATATGCGTGGGAATCCTTGAAGGATCTTGTCACAATGCAGACTCTGATTCTGTAGGTCTGGGTAGGGCCTGAGATTCTGCCTGTTAACAAGCTCCCAGGTGGTGACCCAACTACTGGCCTACGCTTTTGAATATTGAGCATTTATAGGCAATGCCTTGCCTAGTGTGGGTGGACTTGAGCCTCCAGCAAGAAAATATGTAGGACTTTCCACTGTGAATAAATTTCCTGGTATGGTGAAGAGTTCCCATCAGAGAATTCTTTTGCTATGCCTAAGAATAGCAAAAGAATAGAATTTCATGTGAGTGTTTTCTTCAGAAATAAAGTAAAACTAAGAAGATGGATCATTTAAATGTCTTATATTTCTGTAAATGCACAAATCATATTTCTAAATGTCCTCAGCAGAGAAACCTTATCATGGTTAAGAAAGTTTACATCTGCATCTCCCACTCAGTTTGAGCATGCTTTACTTCCTCTTAAGTAATAATCAACATTGCAAAATTGCAACTAGGCAACCAGCAAAATGTTCACAGGGAACACAACTGCTAGCTTTCACTCATAACAAGCTCCCTTCCCTAACCCATGTCATTCCCTGCATGAGCTTATTCGTGGGTTTCTCAGCCTTGGCACTATTGATGTTTGGGGTCATTGTTGCAGCGGCTGTCCTGTGCACAGAAGGTTGTTTAGCAGCATCTCTAGACTCTACCCACTAGATGCTGGTAGCACTCCACCCCGAGTTGTGACAACCATAAATGTCTCCAAATATTGTCAAATGTCCCCTAGGAGACAAAATTTCCCTTGGCTGAGAATCACTCCTCTACAAAAAATAATTTATACTATGTTGGAAAGGACAATGAGCCTAAAACATCGATTTATATAGTTTCAGATCAGAAACAGAGCTTTACTGCATTTGGGGGTCACACACTGAGATAGAGTCTCACGGTCACCCAGGCAGTGGCATGATCAAGACTCACTGCAGCCTCGACCTTGTCTCTACAAAAAATAAAAAGTTAGCTGGCTATGGTAGTGTGTACTCCTGTAGTCCCAGTTACTCAGGAGACTGAGGTGGAAAGTTTCCTTGGGCCCAGAGGTCAAGGCTGCAGTGGAGTTGTGATCGTGCCACTGCACTCCTCCAGCCTGGGTGACAGAGGGCATACCTTGTCTCAAAAAAAAAAAAAATTTCCTATTCCTTACTCATGGCTTCTCAGCCATGTAGCTAAATTCTGGAACAGCTCATGTGCACAGTCAAAGTCAGCTTACAGTATACTCCACATTACTTTTGAGAGAGAATGTTTTACTAACATTTAACTGACGAAAAGAAAGAGCAAATTAATCAATCAGGTATTTGCCTAAATGCTGAACAAAAATGATCTACTAAAGTAACCACTTGTTCTTAGATCTGTTATCTCGCTCTTAAGGGAACCCTGAAGTAAAACACATGTTAAGTACTTCAAAATTCACTTCCTGTTCACAGATTCTCTAACATTGTCAAGATGTGACAGCCTGAAAACATGTCATGCAGACACTAGTTATTTACTGTACTAATATTAATAACTGGAGGCCCTGGCACAGGGCCAGAGTGAAGGGACCTTTTCTACCCTCTTTTTTACTGAAAGGGAGGAAAAGGCATTCTCTCAGGTCTAAGCTGGGGGTGGCATCCATCACCTGCCAATGAACAAGATCTGCTGCTATGCAGCTGCCGACACCCCTTCCATTCACACCCAGCAGATATTTATTGTATACCTACCATGTGCCAGATACTAATCTAGGCGCTGCCACGTAATTTATTTTATTTTTAGAATAACTCAGTACATTTGGGCACAAATGGGGAATCTAAGGAAAAGGATTTGGCTAATAATGCCAAACCTATTTTATAGCCCTTGGCACTTAAAAAAATTTTTAAGAGTATTTGAATGAATTTTAAGTATTAATTATGTTTATTACATTTATTACTTACTTCCTTGCTTGATTTCTTTATGTGATAGATGTACTTGAAGAGTTTGGAAGCAAATTGCAGTTTTGTAAGTTGACTCACTTTTGAAATGTTTTAGTGTGGCTCCATGATATTTATGACTCATGCAGCAAATTTGCTTCTGATAAACAAAACAACCTTTGGTAAAACGACTAGCCACTCTGATTTTTAATTCTGAATTTTAACTTAGTGATTTCCTTATAGATGAACATATATAATATTTTCTCAAGTCATCAATAAAATCTAAGCCAACAGTAGTTTGCATTTTGACAGCAATGAAGTAAACTTAGCTACTTGGTGTAGGAATCAATATCAACACCAATAGTTCAACCAATCAAATGAAATGTACAGCTGTATGTCTTGAATGACATCAATGTTTATATTAGTTCCCTATGGCTACTGTGACAAATTACCAAAACTGAATGGTTTAAAACAATGAGAATTATTTCTCTTATAGTTCTGGAAGTCAGAAATCCAAAGTCAGTCTCCCTGGGCAACCATCAAGGTGCTGGCAGGGCTGGTTCCTTCTGGGACATGGGGAGAATCCATTTTCTTGCCTCTGTCAGCTTCTCAGGCCATCTGCATTCTGTGGCCCTTGACCTCATTCTCATGTCATCCCAATCTCTTGCCTCTATCTGCTGTTATTCACTCTGATCTCCTGCCTCCCTCCTATAAGGACCCTGTGATTACATTGGCCCAACCCAGTAACCCAGAATAATCTCTCACCTCAAGATCTATAACTTAATCACGTGTGCAAAGTCTCTTTTACAAAGCAAGGTACCCATATTCACTGGTTCTGGGAATTAGGACTTGGCTGTCTTTAAGAGGCCATTATTCATCCTATCACAACACTGAAACAAACCTCAAACTAAACTTAGTAAAGGATTGGTAGAGAGCCAACTAATTACCTAAATCAGTTTAAGTAATTAAGAAATAGATCTGGAAAAAATGCAGCGACTGATGAATTTTAATCCAATGTGCCAGTACAAATCTGGGACTTTCCATTTTTACAAGAAACTCAGCAATGAGATGAAAATAATCCTTAAAACATCATTGAAAGGTCCTGTAATTATAACTTGCTCCCTGGAAACTAAAGGAAAACTAAAAGAAGTATCCAGAAAACCCCAAACTTGGCTGTACTTATCACAGACATTGGTAAGTAATAATACCATACAACATTCACTTTGGATTATTATCTAGAAAAATTGATTAGCTTGACTGAGGCCATTATTTTTTCCCAGACCCCATTTATAAGCAATGCTATCTATTGATGAAAAGCTGTGTGAAAGCAGAGTGTGGCGTGGATCTCTTCTCCGTAAGCAACCTGCTCTAACCACCCTGAGTGAGCCTGATTAGATGCATTCTTTGCTAAGCAAGGGGCACTTTGTTTATTTTTTATTTATTTACTTATTTTATTATTATGTTTTAGCACAACTTGCACAGTAATATTCAAGGAAAAATGATTGAAACCAAGCATCTTTGTCTCACTATGGAATGAAGTTAAACAGACATAGTTATGCATCTATAGTGCTTTAAGCACGGGTAACAATAAAATGCTTCAGTTAGATTGTAACAGTACATGCACTGCAAAGTGCACTATTTATTTATTTATGTATTTATTTGACAGGGTCTCATTCTGTCACACAGGCTGGAGTGCAGTGGCACTATCTCGGCTCACTGTAACCTCCACCTCCTGGGTTCAAGTGATTCTCATGCCTCAGTCTCCCAAGTAGCAAGGATTATGGGTGTGCAGCAACACGCCTGGCTCATTTTTGTATTTTCAGTAGAGATGGGGTTTTGCCATGTTCCCAGGCTGGTCTCAAACTCCTGGTCTCAAGTGATCCGCCCGCCTTGGCCTCCCAAAGTGCTGGGATTACAGGTGTGAGCCACCGTGCCCGGCCACAAAGTGCACTTTAAATACAGTTCTATTTATCTTCCAACAGGTATAAAAACCATTATAAACTATATAATGAATTGGTTGTACCAGTTTATTCAATAAATATTTAAAGTTATTAAGATAGGAATTATATACTTTGAAGGAAACATAATAATGGATTTTATCCTTGAGGCTAAAAAGCACTTGTGGGGCTTTTGGTCTCCTCCTCTTGAACAGATTTGTGACTGTTTTCCACCACTACAGTTCAGCAGAAATTATGCAAAATAATTGTCCAAAGTAGGGACAGAAAAGACCAGGAAACTGGAAAGACTGTGGATGTCAGCTGGAGTAAACATTCACTCCCAGAGCCCCAAGCTGCCAGGTGGAAAGCCCAGCTATCCTGAGGCTCAGAAAGTATGAGGAGGAGGCCAGGCCATGTGGAGAGCCCAGGTGTAAGGTGTTGAAGTTGCCAGTCTCAGCTGCAGCCAGGCTTCAAGTCATTCTAGCCCAGCCAAGATCTATCAATGAAGAAGCCTCCAGATAATTCCTGCCCGGTACAATCAAGTCAGCTGGAACTGCTACACTGCCCAGTAGAGATAAACCACACCTGCCTTGCAATGTCCAAGTTTCTGACTCATAGAATCTGTGAGCATGATGAAATGGTGGTGTTTTATGCCACTAGGTTTTGAGATGATTTGTTACACAGGAAAGATAATCAGAAAAGTTTTCAAGGCTGACTACAAATTAATGTAATATAATGTCAATGAAACTTTTTGTGTTAACATGGAATTGTGACTGAAGCCACAAAGCTGACAAAGTGAAGTGTTACAAGTGTATCAACTCTCAATAGAGCTGCCCAATAGAGGGCCAGGCCAAGCAGCAGCACATGGGCCATTGTGCAATCACACCAGCCACTAATGTGTTTGACAGGATACTTATTTTGCAAATCTGCATTTATCATTAAGTATAAAGAGGTGCTTGCCTCACTTTCAATGGTCAACAACCTAAGGTGACTTAAAAAAAAATACTGATGCCAAGTCCCTCCCCAGATGGATTGAATCAGAGCTACTTAGGGTGGAGCCAAAAGGCTTGTTTGTTTTTTAAAGCTTCCCAGGTAATTCTAATGTGTGTGTAGTCAGGTATGAGAACGATTGCAAGCAAAAGCAGCTGAGGGAAGCTTTCCAAGGAGTAGGCTCAATAGTATGAACTGCAAATACCTGAGAAGGGAAAAGTTCAGCCTTGTGCTGGAAAGTGGTTTAGCATGCTGGAGCTGGTTTTCTGTTTGGTAGCCCTACAACTTTGGCCCAATTACTTGGCCTCTGGGACTCAGATTCCTCCCCTTTAAAATGGTGCCAATAATAGCACCTACCCTCTGTGAGGAGGATGCCATGAGGACAAAGAGATCATCCCCATCAGCCGAGAACCCTGTTCCTCATAAGGTAAGTGCTCAATAAATGAGCTGCTATTAGTACAAGGTTATGTTGGAAATTTACGATTAAATACTGCCGTATAATGAAGTTCTTTTTAGTTTTTCAAACACTTCGTACTTCGTGAATGTACCTTATTTCAGCTATAGTTAGTACCCAAACAACTTTGCTAGAGTGACCCACTTTTTATCAGATTTTTCTTGATATCAGGAAAAGTTGTGCTTTGCCAGAGCAACCAGTTTTTCATTTTTTTCTTAATTTGGATGCAATGAATCTTGTGGTTAATTCATCTCTCTGCTTTGGCATTAGAAAACTAAACTGACCCAAATCTCATGACTGAATAAAACTGGCTGTATTATTCTCTCCTTGTTTTTTCCATTCCTCCTTAAAATCTCAGCTTTGATTTTATACTTTTATGCAACATGTACATCTTTTTGGAAGGTGACTTAAGCACTTGCTAGGATGGAACCAAGGTAAGTTATCTGTATTAGGACAGTTTTTCTTTTTTTTTTTTTTTTTTTTTTTTTTGAGATGGAGTCTCGCTCTGTCGCCCAGGCTGGAGTGCAGTGGCCGGATCTCAGCTCACTGCAAGCTCCGCCTCCCGGGTTTACGCCATTCTCCTGCCTCAGCCTCCCAAGTAGCTGGGACTACAGGCGCCCGCTACCTCGCCCAGCTAGTTTTTTGTATCTTTTAGTAGAGATGGGGTTTCACCGGGTTAGCCAGGATGGTCTCGATCTCCTGACCTCGTGATCCGCCCATCTCGGCCTCCCAAAGTGCTGGGATTACAGGCTTGAGCCACCGCGCCCGGCCAGGACAGTTTTTCTATGATGAGGTCCAGACTAACAGGCAACTGGTTAATTGAAAAATGTAGTTAAAGCAGGGAGTCCTTAAAACATATATACACATCTTTAATTTTTTTTAACTTATACAAATGTGCATCTTTTAATTAATCTTTTGGTATACAGGTTGTTACAAGTCCTTGTCTTTAGATATGGATCTACTGCTAGAACTTGTCACTGTTTTTCTTGTATCTCCCACACCTGAAATTCATCAACTACTGTACCTACTTTTTAAATAGAATGAGAACTGAGACACTTTTAAAGAAGAGTGCAGAATCTTCCTAGAATGTTAATATTTTCCTCCCGATTCTTTAACAATTTTCTTGCCCACATCGAATTTAAAAACATTCTTAATTACTTCCATTGTCAAAATATTGTAATACTTTTAACCAAATTTTCATAGGAACAGTAAATTTCTTGTTGCACTTCATTTGTAATACTTTTATTCTGAGGTTTGGGACAAATAAATTGAATCTCAGGACACAACTGGTGGAAACAAAAGAGCTTGAGGCTACTGTCCCTTAGCCTATTTGTTGTGAATGTCCGTGTTCTGCCACTTTGGTCTGTATGTTTTGGACAGAGTGGGGAGTTTTGTATAAATGGTTGATATAGAAAAATAGCTAAATAGGCCCATATAAAAATACATAGCTAAACTTAGCAATGAGAACTTTCAGAGGTATCCAAATATACAAGTATGTAGAGGAACACGAGTGGATGGCCATGGATTAGTATGTCTGTGTAGATGGCTGTGTGAGCATGTGCCCATGTTTTCCCATAGATTATTGTTTTTATTCTCTTCCTCATAATATTGCTCTTGCAAAGATCTGGCAGTACCTTTCATCTGACTGCCATTTCCAGAATGAATGTAACTTTAGTTTTTATATTGGTTCCATGTGGTTCAAAACTTGTTTCCTAAACTGATGTTTACTGTTCTTTAATATTTCTGGGAATATTTTAGATGTTTATCCAAATCTAAAAAAGAAATTATAACACAGCATGCTTGGGAGAGCACACACATTTTATTGGTAAGAAACATTCTTTCCCTTCATGACTCTTTTAAAATTTCCTGATTATTGTGCCTCAATTGATAGAGGAAATATTCTTGACTTGGGAGATTAGCTTCATAAACTAATGAATCTCCTGAATCTGGCAGATTTAACACTGAGCAATGAAAACTACTAAATATTAAAGGAAGAGTGCAAGTTCTACCTCATCTGCAGACAACTGCAATAGGTAGCAACTTTGTCACCTGAGGCTTTCTAGAACACTCAGAGAAAAGGAGATTTGTTCCTCCCAGCGTGGTAAGGAAGGGTCCTAGTGATGGGTATAAAATTCTTTTCAGGTGCACAATAAAAAGCATTTAAGACAAAAGCTTTTATCTGATTACTATTAAGTAAATCAGGGATTTCCATAGAAACTTACGTTTCAGGTGTATCTTAAGCATGATATTTGGACCAAGGTCCTGCACCTGCAGCTCACTGGAGTACAGATTTTCCCGTTTAAATAAGGTAATTTAAAAGAAAGTAACTTTCCCAAGATTACCAAATAATGCAGCATAGAGAAACCTGATTGGGGTCCTTCCCTTCTCTTTATCAAATATTAAGGCACATTTATTCTTTAGATCCCTTTATGGGTCCACCTCTGCCTATCTTAATGATTAACTACACAAGCTGGAAAAACTTGTAGAAATATATTAATAACTTATTTGACCATATTAAGTTCACTTACAAAGTTCAACTGGTCTCTCAGCTCTGGGTGTGACCACAGATCACAGAGTTCTGAGAACGACTGGGAAGCATGTCTAACAGAGTGTGCTTTTCTATTACACAGCTCTTAGTTCTGGGGTTTTATGGCAAATCCTAAGGTTTCTCCCAAACTACTTTCTTCTAGTGCAGCTTTTGGTATATGAATATTCTATGGGTGGTATATTTTCATTAGTAATGTCTATTAAGTATAAGTTAGAATATATGTCCCTAAATACATGTGGAGAAATGTTAAATCTTTAGGCAAATAACATACAAAATAGTCAATCATCTTTATTGTTTTTCCCCAGAGACCATTTAATAAGATATTAAATGGCCAATTTTAAGTATTGTGTTAAGGCAAAGCTGGTTATAGTTCACAAAAGGAATGTCAGCAAGATGAGTAAACATTATTTGGGTCACAGCCTAGTAGTCATGGATTGAAGAGTGATAGTGACCTAATCTTAAAGTCTTAGAATTTAAAGCATGAAAACACATAACAGCATTACTCTCTCAAGTGTGGTTCTTGCCTCCGAAGAAGTACACAGGAGAATCTACTGGAGTACAGGGAGTTAACACCAGAACTTAGAAATTTTAATTTACGGCCGGGCGCGGTGGCTCAAGCCTGTAATCCCAGCACTTTGGGAGGCCGAGACGGGTGGATCACGAGGTCAGGAGATCGAGACCATCCTGGCTAACACGGTGAAACCCCATCTCTACTAAAAAAATACAAAAAACTAGCCGGGCTAGGTGGCGGGCGCCTGTAGTCCCAGCTACTCGGGAGGCTGAGGCAGGAGAATGGCGTGAACCCGGGAGGCGGAGCTTGCAGTGAGCTGAGATCCGGCCACTGCACTCCAGCCTGGGCGACAGAGCGAGACTCCGTCTCAAAAAAAAAAAAAAAAAAAAAAAAGAAATTTAAATTTACATTGTATATGAAGGGAAAAAAGACAAACTTTAGTCGATTCACTCAACAACACCAATGCTATGGTTCATAGTGAATCCTTGAAGTCACAAGACATAGACTGCTTGTGAGGTGCTCCAAGGACGGGAACGGAGCGCTACAGCCCAGAGTAGAGAGGTAGAAGTGTCTGTAGTCATTCATTACCTTCTAAAATTTAGAGACCCATTGCAGTTTATGAAAAATTTTGTTTCAATATTCTTCTAGATGTCACGATAATTTTTTCTTGATTTTACTAATAAACTTCGTTGCTTTTGTTTATATTCTAATAATTTTATTCACTTAGTTCTTTAAGTCTGAAAACAAAATAGTTTGAGTCTGTACTTTATCATGTTTTATTGAAATGTTCCAAAATGTCATTACAACTTGCAGTTTAAATGGTCTTTTGGAGCTTCATCAGCCTTTAAAATAAATGTCATATCTTGAGTTTGAGCTTCTCTTCTGCATCTCTGAAATATATTTTAGAGAATTTAAAATATCACTCTCCCATCTTCCAAAGTCTGAACAACTTTGCAATGGACGGACCATCTCATTAAATTAGATCATTTAAAGAAAAATCCAATTTGGTGTGTGTATTTAAAATACCCCACCTTTGAGACAACCCTGGGAAATATATATATATAAAAATATAGAACTGTTGAAAAGGTATGCAAATGGTCCACAACTTCAGGGTGTCCTGAAGGTGAGTCCTCATCTCATGACACTGACAGAATGAGCTGCTCTCAGACATATTCTGTGTACTTATTAAAAAAGAATGCTGTCTATGTCTTTCATTACAGCTCTACTGTCAAAAGACAATGAATGTTGTCAGTTGTTCATTGTCAAGGTACAGTGTCCAGAACTACTTTCTTGAGTAAAGTCATAGCCTTCAGTTGGCAAAAAATGGTAAACATTACTCCTATGTTGTCTATTTTACTAGTTGCGTACAATAATCAATTGATTGGTGTTTGTCACATCCAAGGCAGAATCGGCAATAATGGACTCATATTTGATGTTTGTTTATATCACTTAATGAGACAGCCAAGTGTAAAGGGGTTCCTGGAAAAACTCCAACCAGCCTGTGCACTGGAAGGTGTGCCCGTTGGGGTGGAGCCACAGAAGTTTGTGCCATTTGCAGCAGGGAGGAGCTTGGCCCCTCCTCTTCCTGGGAGGAACCTGGAATTCAATCTGTGAGGCAGGAAGGATATACTGGCAGGAAGGATATACCAGCAGGACTCTCGCTCTGCAGGGTCCCTGTTTCCCTTTTTTTTCCTTTTTGCCCAATAAATTGCATTTTCTCAACCTTCAAAGTATCTGCGAGCCTCATACTTCATGGCAATGTGACAAGGACCCTGTTTTTAGCTGAATTAGGTAGAAAGTCCTATAACATTATTTTGTTCATGTTTTCCAATGTTCTCAATTCTCATTAGTAGTTGTGTATGTAAGTTACCACTCTTTTTTGAATCCTGACTTTTTACTGGCAGTCTTGTAAAA